GTTGGACCCTGCACCTCGGGTCCACTGAGGCCCGGCGAGCAAGGGGAGGTGAGAGCCTGCAGCTCCCCGGGCCCTCGCAGGGGGCCCAGGAGACCCCGGGCTGGCACGGGAGGGGGCGAGAGCCAGAGTGTGGTTTTGGTTTAGCAGCTACACCAACATCCTGTAATCATTTACAGCCCTTGGAATGCACGGGTGAAACAGGAGAGATTTATCTGTTCATAGCTGGGATATGTGGACAATGGGTGTTCCTAATGAAGACCATCTGCTTTTGTGTTTTCCCAGAAAACATCACTCCACGAGGAAAATCATACTCATCCTTTCCAGCAGTACTCGAAAAGCCGCGTGTGTACGTCTGTCTGCACGTATACAGGTTCACGTACATGCACAAGCGTGGGTGTGCGCACGGATGTGTATACGCAGACATGCGAGCATGTGTGTGAGGCGGTGTACGACTGCACACGCACGCACATGTATGTGGGTGTGTGCGTTGGGGGGTGAGCACACGTGCACACACGTGCCTTTTGCCTCCTGGCAGCTGGCTCTCCGCAGGTCGCCACCGTCCACCAGAGGTGTCTTCTCCTACTGCGTCTGTTTACTGGCCACGATTTTTACTTTACAATGTTATGTGCTCTCCTTTACCCCACAAGTTGTTGCATTATTTGAAAGACGCCATCGTATAATTATATTTGCAAAGCTATAAAAAAAATGCCTTCTCTAGCACTGTCTTATGAGAAAGAAAACAGTTAACATAAGCGAAACCTTCACCGTAAAGTAAAAGGGTTTTGTAATACAAACTATCTTCACTCCCCCCCTTTTTTTTTACTGAGGCGCCTTCCACGCTGCTTGTGTGTATTTAATGCTTCTGAACGAGAACTACACTAAATCGTGTAATTAATTGATTTAAGGCATCAGAGTCCATAGGATGTGATTTCCTTGCCAGAGAGGAGAGTTCACTTCTCTGTTCTCATAACGCAGAAGAGCAGTATCTGCGTGCGGGAAGAGGCTCAGGGTGGGTTAGAACAAATGTGGGCCCATTGATCTCAATTCAGCCTGGAATTATTGGTTTATATCCTCGGGACAAATATGCCTTATCTGGTCAGAACCTGCTAAACGTATCCAAAGGCCACAAGGAGCCGGCAAAGCGCACTGTATATAATTCTTTTTTAAGCCAACTAACCAAGTGATGACATTGCTGATGGGGACCTGCAGACTGACTCACCAACCTGATGGGATATTTTATTCTGCAATACTCAAGAGGAAACACAGGCTGGAAACTCAACATAAGCAACTAATTTTAGGAGGCAACACACACGCACAGAAATGATTATCATTATGAAATTGAAACACACCTCAGTTGCGAAAGACGGCACGACTGAAGATGCTCCTCTCCTATTGGCATTTCTCTTTCTCTGGTTAACACTACTTGCCCCAGTGAACACTGAACTCTTCATTTTTTCCCCCAGCATTATGCCTTAAACTGGAGACGTGCCCACACCACAGTCATCTCACAAAGATTTACATCACGCGACGAAATGCAAACAGGGTTTGCCATGGGAGGTGGCAGCTCTCTTAAGAATGCTAAAAATGTACCTTCTATTTGTTATGACATAAAACTATCCTTACCTTAAAATCCCTAACACAGAAGGTGATTAAAATTCCTATAAAATTGTCATATCTTTGAATTTAGAAGCAGAGCAGATTTTTTCATCAATAATTAAGACCTCCAAAGCATTTATGCCTGGCGTAAACGGAGCAGCAGTCCTCCTCATTCAAATAAACTTGGTAAACCCATCAACCAAATGTTTTTACGTTTTTCACCTCCTCTCATGCTTCTAGAATATCGAGTGGTCACATACTCCTCTTAGGTTAGAGAGGTATCAGGAAGTTTAGCACATATTTTAATTAACCAAATACAAGACAGCACTCACTCAGACGAGAACTACCGAGTACATTTCTGCAGACCTAGGGAAGATGTTCCCCACCATGTGATGGAAAATAGTATTCAAAGTTATTCAGTATCACAGTCAATAAATGACTGAATGTTACACAAACCAAAAGTGGAAGGGAACACACAGTGTCCAAAACCTTAGTTGAATCAACCCAGCTACTTCATTATCGTGGCATGCCAAACACCTCAAGATTTAAAAACCAGTCATCTTTCGAAATTTACAAATAGCACAAATCAAAGACAACTCAAAAGATGAAACACTTTACAATCCTGCATTACGAGCACACGTTCACGGTCTTTTCAAGCATCTAACACAGACTAGATTCCGATAGGTGTTCAGACACTTTTAGCCAATCAAAAAAAAAATGAAATAAATTCAGTTACGAGACAATCCCAGACCGTGTAATTTCCATAGCCACAACACTAAAGACAAATATAATTATATTGATTTCTGTAGTTCAAGTCCTATAAAGTGTTGAACTTGTTCTCAATTGCCTGAGTGACGGCCACAACTGGTCAACCCTATTTGATTACTAATAAGAGAGCTGTCCCTTCTGTCAGATACCGAACATTCTCCACTAAGCAAACAGCTATTCCAGCTAGTTAAACATTAGCATTGCTCTCCACTGGTGGTGCATATTTCTTTAGGCTTAACTCATAGAGTTTTCCGGGTTTAATTTTTCAGACACTGGACAGCAAAGTTCATGATCAAAAGATAACTTTGTAATGAAAGCTGCTGAAACTCAACCCCTCTTCAAAACAGTCTGAACCTCTGCCTCAC